GAAGCAGGTCACGTTTTCTATCTCTGTGAAGGGGAACATGGTTGGGAGGTGTGGGGGACAATGGTGACAGCTCAGGGCATTTAAGAAAAATTCACTTTTCTAGCGGAATTTTCCATTAGTCATGTTGAAATGGAGGATTCTCAGCTCCTCCCCGTGTTAACACAGCTGTGCAAAGCTTCTCTGGGGTCTTAGGAATCAAGATCCAGGCCCTGAAAGAATCCATTCCAGAGGCTTCCAACCTTGAACCTAGTTTTCCATTGATTCTCAGGATTGTCTGCCTACCTCTCCACTGCATAGGAGGACCACAGATTCAGTAAAACCTCACTGAATCAGATAAATGAGGAGAAAGAGCAGCATGAAATGCAGAATCTATGAAAAGAAACTGGGCCTTATTACTTTTAAGTTAAGCACCTTCAGCCTAGCTGAGGAAATGTATGCGTGTGGAGTGACAAGGTCTACTTGAAGGAATGGACTTGAAGCTAATTTGGTCCACCCATCAATTGTTTTTGGTAAAGAGAAGCTTCTAAAATGCCCTCTTAAATTCAACAGGGAAACTCTCACATCCAGTTCCTAACTAGGCTACCAAATGTTTAGAATTAGTAGAGTCTAACTGTAAACAGATTCTTGGGTACTTACCCACCTCCCCTTTCTCATTGGATATACGCACATCGCACACATCCAAACAAAATATTACTCTTGAGAGCTTATTAGATTTAAGACCACTGAGCTAAGTACACGGCATTCATTACCGCATTAAGTCCTCATAGAGCTATACGAAGTCATCACCCAAGGTCGTATAGCTGGGAAATGACAGAGAATGCCCCCTCTGTCCCTCACCTCTGTTGTATAGAAGCTGATGGGCAGGGAAATACTCTTACTCTCTAATACTTTATACTGACAGCCCTTTAAGAACCTCAAAGGTCAATTCAGACCCAATTCCTGCCAGATGACCATAGTCAACCTTACTGGCATCTGAATGAGTGGTTTTCTAAGTGGCCAGTGATTATAAAAATGCCATCAGCAAAGAGTTGGGGGGCTACTCTATCCTAGACAGCTGACACCTCCATTTCTACCACCACTTAGAATTAATCCTCACAGCCATCCTCTGGGAGGTATTATCCAAAGCGCCCAGGGCTGAGGCCACTTGCCCACGGTCCCATGGCTAATGAGTATCCTGCCATGAAGATTTTCTCCCTCCCTGTCCCCGAGCTCCCCTCTGAAAAACCAAAACTGTGCAGGGAAACAAGCCAACACACGGGTGGCCCAAGTAAGGAAGCAGTCATTAGAGGAGAAGCGTTGCTCACCTGACTCCAGGCGCCAGCCTTCCACTTGGGGCATCTTCCTCCTCGGCACTTTCTGTGCCCATTTGGCTTAGCAAGGTGTTTACAGTAATCACTTTCTAAATGGCTTCCATCTTTTGCCATGCAGTAAACATTTCGTTGTTTATGCCCTCGACCACAAGAGACAGAACACTGAAATATAAAGCAATGGCAAGGTTGTTGTTGTTTTTTTAAAAAATCACAAGGAATTTGATTAAAAAAAAAAACCACCAAAAACCCCTGTGTTGTGCGAGGTTAAGATCACTCCTAACAAGAGTCATCATTCCCCCCTTTGGCAGCACCGTTTTGGATAACGTCTCAAGGCTCAATATGGAAGGAAGGTAGCACTGGAGAAAAAAATGTCAACAGCATTACAGCAGGAATCCTGTCCAGTATTTTGGGTCACTCAAGAGGGAGGGGAAACCCTGATAATTCAGGCCAAAAAAATGAAGCCCATGAACCTGAAATTACCATGAAATTCTGACTGAAAGAAGTCCTACTATGAATTAGTAACGATTCCTTCTGGACATCTCACTTCACGCAATCTCTGATCAAGATATGCCTTCAATAAAATGCCTCGCGATTTCACTCTTTTGGAGGAAGGTGCGTTTCCAAAATACAGCTGCATTCCATTTCCTAGCGAAATGATTTAAGGAAACTCTTATACCATTTTTCAGAGGATAAGCTCTCATTTTCCCAGTCCACAGGAAAGAAGGTGAAAAAGGCACATCAGAAACTGAAAGGTAAGCCAGCAGGTGAGTCTGTGCCAATCTGGGGAGGGAGGCATTACCTTTCAACTTTGATCTGCAGGTTCACTGAACTGTTTTAAATGTGACCTTGTCTGACCACATCTAAGAAACTTGACTTTGATTTCAGAGTAGGTTTCTCAGAAAGGTTTAGGAATCAAAGTGCCCATGGAGTCGGGACAAAAATGTGATATGACAGCTTCTTGCGGAACAGGCAAGAGGCTAGCCCCAATGAGTACGCTGAGATATTCAACGTCCATTGCCTCATTAGCGATTACAGAAGTCATTACCCTTGGATCAGAAGCTGGCTGGCTCCGGTTTTCAAGCCACATTATTTCCCAGTGTAACGTTCTTGCATTTCAGAGGGAAAGGAGTTTAAGAATGAAGAGTAAAATGTGAAAACGCAACGAAAATAGTTTTCAAGTGTCATTTCCTTCTACTCAAGATTTCTAATTTCCCCTGCCGACTTGGTGATTTTTGTTAACTTCAATGGCCAAAGTGCCTTTTTATGCCTAATGAATAGTATCGTGTAAAACATACAGCCTAATATAAATTCAACCACGAACTGTTACCAAGCACGCTCAAAGTTATACCATTCACAAATGTGCCAGACATGTTCTTCTAGTAAAGATAAACCATTATACACATTTCAAGGGTAGGTGCTAGAGAAAATTTAAAATATGTAGGTCAATATATTTGGCTATAACTTTTTGCTTTTAGAGATGGAAACACTGTTGTTTTCATTTGAAATCTCACCTTGTGAATGTTATGATGTGGAGTAGTGTTCTGAAACCCTTAAGAGAGAATACAATGTGAAAGGAAGGAGCCAAATTTGAAATTTTTTCCTATACCGAAACAAAAATTTCCATCTTTCAACCTACAGTGTTTTTGAGGTAATAAAGATTTTGGGCTCTAATTCTAGAAGCCTTTTAGAATGAATCTCCAAGAAGTACCCCTACAAACCCATGGTCTAATGACTAACACAGATAATTCTACTGTTAGTTATTAATAATAGGAATACTTAATATATTAAAGTTACTTCCACACCCCCAAAAATACAGGCACAGCATTTGGTGTGAGTTCATTTGTTTATACAGCAAGCATGTACGGTGCACCTACTAAGTTCCAAGAATTATGTAAAGAGCTGGGAATGTAACAACAAACAAATTACCGTAACCCCTGCCCTCATGTTGCTTAATGACCAGTGAGGGAGATCAGCATTAATTAAGTGATGACAAAAGTAAATACATACTTGTTCATTCAGATGCGTGCTCTGAAGGAGTCGGAGGGGCTGGAGGGTTTGTAAGAGGGCTCCCTGAGGCATTCTCTGGAGCCAGACCATGCAGAGCTCTTGGGTCATAATAGTACATTTTATTCTCTATGAGATGGAAAGTCATTGAAGAGCTTGAAGTCAGGGTAAGACAGGGTCACAATTTTGTTTCAAAAATTCTACCATGACTACTGAGTAGACAATGGGTGGAAACCAGAACACTAACCAGGAAGCTACTGCCGTTGTCCAAGTGAGAGGTGATGGTGGCTCAGATTAGGGTGCAAAGTGGAGGGATGAAGGAAGCTGATGCACTGAAGACATCTTTTTCTGAAAAAGGAACGATAGTTCCTGATGGATCAGTTGCGGGGTGGAGAGGAGAGGCAGAGTCAGGAAGGACTCCCAGGTTTCTGTATGGGCAGCTGAATGGACAGTGATGACATGAAAAGAGATGGGAAAAGCAGCATTGAGAGTCAGGGATATATTTATTTGTAAGAAAGAAGCTGAATTGAAAGGATATGGGTTCATGGGTGGTAACACGTGCTCGATTGTGGTGAAGAAACAGTTGCCTTAGAGTAATCAGATGAACACAGATCAACATAAAGCAAGTCTACCCTGAGGGATCATCGCTTCAATATATAAATAGTCCAGACAAGCCGTCCCTCCACATGGAGGGGAAAAGAGAGCTGATGGAAATGCTAACATAGTCATCTGTCCATTAGTCTGCACATCCCATGAGCACAGGGAGGATGGCAGCTTTGTTCATCACTATATTTCTCACACTTTGTATAATTCTTGGAACTTAGTAGGTGCTCAATAAAAGTCTGTTGAATAAACACATGAAACAGATCCCATTTAGTGGTCCTTGGAAGAGACAGCCCGAAAGCAGAGAGCAATCGACAGAGGCAGAATTAGAAAAGGCACACCTTTCTCCCATTTATTATGTGTCAGGCACAGCTCTAAGACTTTACATACATTATCTCATTTAATCATCCCAACAACCATAGAGAGAGGTAGTATTATCAGACACAAATGGTGTTTACAAAAAGGCATAACCACAACGCTTTATATACATCTCTTCGCACATGACTTCGTCACAAGCGGCTAGAGTGTGGGACCAACAATAGCACAGTGAAGACAATTAAATCATCAACAACATCACTGATAATAATTCATCTGAGGGGCACCCCTGGTGCAACCAACATCCATCACCCATGAAATGAAGATGGATGAAGTCGATTTGAAATAGGATGCCTAAAGAATCTTTTTAGTATCTGGATCAGCTGCATCCTACCTATTCATTCCTATATATGTGTTTCTTATTTGAGGACTTGAATGGAACTGATTTGGAAAAGAAAGACTGACACTTCAGCATGACTTGCTACACATAATATTTGCCTAAAATTAAGATCGAAAAGTGATAAGGAAATTCTCAAGGTATCTAATCTGATAACTAACCTTTTCATTTCATGCTTTCTAACTTACCAGTGAAGAAAAGCAGCTGCTTGTGGAAAACTTCCTACCTAACAGGTTTATTAATGGGTCTATTATGATTCCATAAAGAAGTTACCATTTTAATAATCAAATAAACACAGGTTTGGCCCTTACATTCTGAGGGAAATTTCCATCTGATCATTTCCAGTCCTTTCTCAGGCGCTGAGTTTTGCATCAATGCATGTCACTGAGATGGAATAGTGAAATTCAGTGTGTCACCTCGTATGTATTAGTTACTGGTTACACATCTGAGGGTTCTTGCTCTGGAGAATATTTAATTTCTTATATTTGCAACCAAAATAGCCTCCTACTTTGCCAGTAGGACTGTAACTTTTCTCCTGTGGGGAAACACCCCAACTTGTTTTAAAGAATGATTTTTCCTCCAAATTTGAGCAACACTCTCAAACAGTGTAATCTCTGCTTGTTATATAGAAGCACCAAGGTCAGGACCTCAAATGCCAGGGCTTTCGGGCTTTTGTTTCCGCAAGGTCGTTCAAAGAGAGTATTTAATGTGGAGCTCTGTTCAGATGTTGTCTTAACTTTTTAGACTAAAGTCGAAGAGTCTGGAAGCCATGCATTTCAACACATCCGGTGGAGACGAAATTCAAGGCCTGGGCAGCGTGCTCAGAACCTCCACCGAGGGCTGGCTCTCTCTCTCGTGGTAGCTCTGGCTATGGCGTGGATATGCGTCCCACGGTTCCCGATGTGCCGTCCCTGGCATTAGGGATGCCCTGCATCGATCCTTTCACTTACATTGATGTGCATGGTCTCTTAGTCACCGAGAAGCCAGCAAACAACCCCAGTGTGTCTGCCTGGATGAGAAGGGCCGATGACCTGGAAAGAATGAGACTCCCAGCGCTACCAAGGCTGCTGAGAACCTGGACGTCCAAATGGAGATGGAGGCCCACACAGAAGTGGTAAGGACACCATGAGGAACCAAGGAATAGGAAGGGGAGGGTGGAGGTCGGGGATGTACATAGAATCTGGCCAGAAGGAAATGTTTCGGTGAGGCTGGAAAATGCTGGGGCTCAGAGGAAATACTGGAGTGGGTGGGGTGTGGACCAGTACAGCCTGAGTTGTAGCAGGTGCTTGACACATAAGGGTTAATGGGTGGTCCAGGAGGTCAGCCCTAGCAGACTGTCTGGGCACAGTTCTGTATGTCTGCACGATTTCTATCTCCAAGTGATCTGGATACACAAGACTTTGTTTCTGTGAAATGTGTTATGGAGGATGCTGAGCAACCAACAAGTCCATACTTCTAAGCAGAGGACTGGCTGACAGCAGGTTAGAAATAAGACAGAACTGAAAAGGCCAAGAGAAAGGTCATGTACTAGAAGTCATTAGCAAGCAAAGTCAAGACCCTCTTGATGGAAGGATTTTTGACCATCAGGTAACAAACTACCACTCTGAGACAGGCGGGTAGAGTTCAGTTGTGAGACAGGAGACTGTACTGATTATTCTTTGAGGCTTTTCCCTTGTGGTTTTATAAAATATGAAAATAACACCTAAATCACGTCATTTAAAAAATGAAGTGTGTCTTTTCATAACAACAAGCTCCTCTCAATTCTACTCTTGTTTTGACTTTGTTTAACCAAACACAAAGTCAAACCTTACATGGAAAGTTACGTTATCAGACAGGAGGCAATGCGTGTGCCCACGGTTCAGAGCTGCCTTTGCCAATTACAGTGACGGATGACGTGAGGACTGCAGGACTGTCACACTATCAGGAAAGGCAAAGGGACCCCAGCCTGTATCCTCTGTTCCACCAGAAAAAAAAAAGTGAGTGTAAAGATACAGACTGAGGGATCAAAGTTTTAAAACTGCTTAATATAAGACTTGGTAAACCATGCGGGCTGGTCACATAGAAAAATAATAGTAGCTGTAATCCACATATGTTTATTTACTGTTTTCCATACAGTAGGCAGTGGGCAAATATTTATGGGAATGTGTGAACACGTGAAAGCTACAGTCATCACGGAAGTGTACTATAAACCAAACACCACGCTTTCCTAACGTTTTCAAGAAAGAACCACCTGGGACCTGACTCAGAGCTGATGCTGAACTGATTTGGCACATGCCATTTAGACTCAAAAAGGCCACCCCAAGAGCACTCTTCCACTTGGAGTAGAACTATTAGAAATCACACTAGCTAACTTTCATTGGGTTCTTATGATGAGTGGGACCGGGGGCAGATGGGCACTGGCTTCTCTCAGTTAATCCCTACAGCAGCCGCGCAGTTCAGGTGCTATTAGGATTCCTTTTTACAGACAAGGAGACTGAGGATTAAAGAGGTGACATCACTGGCCCAGGGTCACAGAGTGAGGAAGCAGCAGGGCTAGCTTTCAAATAGAGCATGTGTGTCTCCAAAACCACCGCTTTCTTCCTTAAGGTACAATGAAAAGAGGGCCTGGTTAAGAAAACAGGCTGCTCACCTCTGCTCACCCACAGCGATAACAGAAAACAAGGACCTCAAAGAAATGTCCCTTAAGAATATTTTGGAGACCTCTGATTGCTTAGTCTAGCAGAAGTAGAGTGGTTATGTAATATATTTCTGACTTTAATATTTTCTCCACAATACCTTTAGCATCCTGGAAAGAAAGACACTATGAAAAGCAAATAAACAGTCACATAAATAAAGGGCCACATTTCCCTATGGCCAAAGCCACACCCTGGTTTTCTCTTGGCTGTTTTCTAGGGTTGATTCACCCTTTGAGGCTGGTCTGATGCCACCTGGTGAACGACTGTCTCCGTTCACTGGTGAACGGCCCTTTGCATGGTCATGAATGGAAGGTTACATGTAAATTGTGGCCTGCCGATTCACCAAGGACTAACTAAACTCTCAAATGTTTGAGCTGTAGGTCATCTCAGAGGTTTGACAAATTTGTTTGACAAATTCAACACTGTGGAAAAGGAGACGCGGCATGCTCACAGTCACATGACAGGGAAGGAGTAGATGGAGACTTAGGACTAAGAGGAGTTGGTGTACCCAGCACAGAACAGTGTTTGGTACCAATTGCACTGGGGATCTGTGACCAGATTTGGTATTCTGCATGGTTCCTGGGAACAGATGTTCTGATTCTTTCCACGCCGGTTCAGTCATGCTCACCCAGAGCTGGCACGATGGGCTGGGACTAGCCAAGGCAGGCATGAGTTCTGCACCTCTGGCTCTGAGAGACTTCCAATTCCAATATGAACAAGCATGGGTTTAATCACCGCTTGTTCCAAGGGCCCAGTTAAGAATAAACTCCATGGAGTGGCTGGGCATGGGTATCATCACAGGATACCACAGCTCACACACGGGTGCTGGCCTTCACCCTGCTCTAAGATGTAGCCCTTAAAGGCACATATTTTGGAGTCAGACAGACCAAGGTTGGACCGAGGTTGGAATGTTATCTGCCATTTTGCCCCGGTGCCACCTGGGGCAAGTTACTGACCCTCTCTCAACTCAGATGCATTCTCTGTAAAATGGAGGTGGTAGCCCCATCCATCTATACTCAGTGGAGTTGTGTTACAATCAGACAAGACAATGCATAGAGAGCTCTTGGGGTTTTGGCCTGAGAGTGTAAAAATCAACACACGTTCACTGTCCCTGCTACTAATGCTTCTACTCAGCAGAGTCTTTTAAAATATCTTCTAAGACGTAGGTTACATGGTGAATATTTAAAAAAAAATGGAGTCGAAAATTAACATTCTAATACAGGCACTGCTGGGTGAAGGAGAAACTCAGCCTGGCAAAATCTCACCCGTGTGAATGGGTGAAAAGCTTTCCTTTCTAAAGGTCACAGAGAAATCCCCAGAGCAGATATAAACATTGATGATTCCTTCTTTTCTGTGGGGGCCCGTTACACTCTTACAGACTCTTACCTATTAACATGGTCTCTTCTAACCACAGAAGACGGAAAGACATGTAAGAAAAAGAAAGACACCACATCTGAAAGCCGTATCTCTTTTCTACGCCATTTCCGGCTCAGGCTTCCTATCGCAAGAACGCCTGGTGTTTCTCATTTGTTTTTTTATGTTATTTCTTTAAACGTCCTGAGGCAGAGAATCAGCACCAGCGCTAATCATTACCAAACACAGACTCACTGACTTGCATGCTCTGTTTGGCTCAGCGGTGGGAGTGGTCACAGGCCTTTGTCAGAAAGCTGATCTCCTTATTGGTGACATGAACATGCTTAGGGAAATGTTTATAGGGCTTCTCACAAGACAAGAATGGCTCTGAACAGGGGCATCAGGGAACCAAAATGACCGAGGAGGAAGGAGAGAAAGCTTGGCCAGGAAACAAGGGCTGTGACTTCAGGGCGTAAAGCCAGTGTTGACAGGCCTGCCTGATGGCCGTTCATGTTCAGGACCACCATGGCACTTATTATCATGAAAAGGAGCTGAGAAAGCCTGAGATTGGCAGGGAACACCATGGAAGAAAGCGGATGTGGGAGTCACGGTCATTGCAGCCGGATGGGGCATTGGGCCATCCTTCCAGCCCAGTTGCCCCCAACACCCTGAGCCTTTGCAAAGCTACAAAGGTCTGAGACTGCGGGAGAAAAGGAACTAAGATTCACATGTCAACTCTTGGAACACACTTGAAGACTCCTATCAATACTATATCCAAGTAGGTGGCCCTGCATATGCCTCGCAGGGGAGGTGGCAGGGCCAGGCAAAGAAGAAGAGGCAGTGAGGGGTGCTCACGAGCCCCACACTTCCCATCACCTCCAAGGATTATGAGGTATGGGGCTCTCCAGTTGCCCCTCCCCCCACCTCAAAATGTGACAACTTCATATTAGAGGAG